GTGTGTGTGTGTGTGTGTGTGTGTGTGTGTGTGTGTGTGTGGTCAACTTGAAGGAGTCACTCAGTTTTCTCTTGACATGTAGACTCTGGGAATTGAACTCAGGTCCTCCAGTAACAACATAATGAAATAGGACCCTCCTTGTTTTTCATTAGTAGAAATGAGCTTGTTTTACCTGCCTGGGCTACAGGGTGAGTTCAAGGTTAGCCTGAGCCACTTAATGAGATCCTGTCTCAAAATAAGTTTTTTGAGTTTTGTTTTGTTTTTTGTTGCTGCTGCTGTTGTTGTTTTTGGTGGTGGTGGTGGTGGGTTTTTTGTTTGCTTTTGTTTTTGTTTTTTTTTTCTTTGTTTGTTTTTTTAAGATAGGGTTTCTCTGTGTAACTTTGAAGCCTTTCCTGGAACTCACTCAGTAGACCAGACTGGCCTGGAACTCACATAGATCTGCCTGCCTCTGTGCCTCCTGAGTGCTGGGATCAAAGATGTGTGCCATGACCGCCTGGCCCTCACAATAAAAAGTTTAAAAACAAAGAGGGGTGTCTGGGATGTAGCTCAGTGGTAAATCACTTAGCTAGCATGTAAGAGGGAAGGTGGGGGGCGGGGGCTGGTTCTGGTTAGAGTTTTTTAAGAAGTGTGAATTAAAGCTCTAGGACTCCAAGAGTCTCACCTCAGGCCACACTATGATCTTTCTTCCCGAGGCTCTAAAAATCTTGTGATATAATATACCCTCCCATGAGCACCAGAGAAGTTCTGGGATGGATCTGGGCACCTCTCCCATCTGGATGTCTTCATTCAGGCTGATTTGTAACCTCTTGATATTCCTGCTGGCTCAGATTACAGATCCCGAACTCTGAAGTTGTAAGGCCAGGTGTAGAGGTTCGTGCCTTAAGCTCAGCTCTTAGGAGGCAGAGGCAGTGCAGTCTCTGTGATTTTGAGGCCAGTCTGGACTCTCATAAAACCCTGTCTCAAAAAGCAGTTTTTTAAACATGTATTTATTTATTCATTTTGTATGAGGATAAGTGGGTGTGGCACCCACATGGTCATCAGAGGACAGCTTGCAGAAGTCACATCTCTCCACTGTTTGGGTTCCAGGGACCAGACTCAGGTCATTTGGCTTGGCAGCAGGCACCCTTACTTTCTCAGCCCTCTCAGAAAACTGTAAAACAGTTTTGTAGTGAGGCTGGAGAGATGGCTCAGCAGTTAAGATCTATCTGCACTTCCAGAGGACCCAGGTTCAATTCCCAGCACCCACATTACAGCTTACAACTGTCTATAACACCAGTTTCAGGAGATCTGATGTCGTTTTCTGGCCTTGAGGGCACTACCCTTGATTGATGCACCCATATACATGCAGGTGAAACACCCATACACATAAAATAATAATAATTTAAAACACAAAACAGTTCTATGTTAAAGAAGCAAGTGCAAGTTACACTCACCATACATATGGATACCTTGTAAAAACAGAAAGTTCATAGGCTAAGCAGTAGTGTCTGTAGCATGTTTTGGAGTTGGCAACTGTTGTCTTTTGAATAGAACTATCTTTAGTGTGGCCATCTCTACCTCCCGGGTGGTGGTGCCTTAGATTCCTACATGAGCAAGCCAAAGTCCAGTGAAAACAGCAAAACAAACCCCTGGACTGGTCAGAACCCAAGTGCAAGCTTTTAAGTAAACACTCACCCTTAGCCAGCCAAATGTTTCTTTGTTTGGTTCCCATGAATATCTTACAATTCTCTCCTTTGTCCCCTGGCTCAAGAAAAGCACTGGACTACTGGAGTCTAGTGTGCCCCAAGTAAAGGTCTGCTCTGTTCAAATAAACTCATTAAATTGTGGTTTCTTTTTTTTTTTTCTTTTTCTTTTTTTGGTTTGGTTTAGTTGTGGGTTTTTGTTTTTTTTTTCTTTTTTTGTTTGTTTGTTTTTTTTGTTTTTTGAGACAGCTCTGGCTGTCTTGGAACTCACTCTGTAGACCAGGCCGGCCTCCAATTGCCTCTATATTCAGAGTGCTGGGATTAAAGGTGTATACCACCACCACTTGGCTTTCCTTGTGTTCTTTTTCTTTTTTAAGACAGTGTCTTTCCGTGTAGTTCAGGCTGGCTTCAAACTCAAATACCGCCTTACCCTCCCAAGTCCAAAAATTGCTGGCATTGGCCACTGTGCCCCATTTATGCAGTCAGGAATTAAATCTAGACCATGGTTCAAATTTGTTCATTCTAGGCAGGCAGTCTGCCAACCAAGCGACACTGTCAGCCCCAAGGTTTACTTTTTTTTTTTTAAAGATTTTATTTATTATGTATACAACATTCTGCTTCCATGTGTACACCAGAAGAGGGCACCAGATCTCATAATGGATGGTTGTGAGCCACCATGTGGTTGCTGGGAATTGAACTCAGGACCTCTGGAAGAGCAGTTGGTGCTCTTAACCTGTGAGCCATCTCTCCAGCCCCTACTTTTTTTTTTTTAATTACTTGATACGGATGAGTGTTTGTGGGTGTGCATGTATGTGTACCACACGCATGAAGTGCCTGCAGAGGCTGGAAGTGGAGTTACAACTGGACTAGTGTGTGAGCTATCATGTGGTCGCTGGGAACCCAAACTAGGTCTTCTGGAAGAGCAGTAAGTACTCTTAACCTCTGACTTACCTGTTCAGTCCCAACATTTATTACTTTTAGCTTAAGTAAATAAATCATACTTTGTTTCTTTTGCAGTGTACTCACTGATGACATGAAACACATATTAGAGCTACATAAGTTGATAATGAAGTCACAGGAGGTAAGCTGGCACATGGGGGCATTACATGTTTTTGTGTGCTCTCATGATTTTAATGATTTTTGTATGACACAAAATTGAGATGTCCAGCCAGGCAGTGGTAGCACACGCCTTTAGTCCCAGCACTCGGGAAACAGAGGCAGGAGGATCTCTGTGAGTTTGAGACCAGCCTGGTCTACAAGAGCTAGTTCCAGGACAGCCTCCATACTGTCCTCCACACATACTCCTCTGTGAACTCCAACAGGGTTCACAGAGAAACCCTGTTTGGGGAAAAAAAAAAAAAATTGAGATGTCCAATGCAACTGTGTGTCTGCAGATTGCTCTCCTTAGGTTGTTTTTATCATAGAACTTTTTTTTACTGAGGTTACAAATTATCAACATAATTTAAGTGACTACTTTCTTCCTTTGGCTTTGTGGAAAAAGGGGAGTAGAAAATCCCACTTTAGACTAGGTGTCTCTGCATATGCCTGTGATACTGACACTTAGGAGGCAGAGATGGGACCAGGAATTCAGTCACTCTTAGTTCCATAGAGAGTTAGGCTAGCCTGAGCTATTTGAGAGATAGTTGGGTGTAGTGGAACAAGCTTTGCCTTTAATCCCAGCATGCAGAGTGAGTTCAGGATGAGCTACATAGTAGACTTGTTTCAAAATAAAACAAACAAAAACAAAGATAAGGAAAAGGGGGAAATTGGAGCTGAAGAGAATCAGATTATGTGAGACTCAGTGATGTACTATTGATTTGTCATGGAGTGACGTGCCTTAATTTTCATTTTCATAAACAGGAGTCTTCGGAATTAGAGGAAAAACTGCTTGACATTAGAAAGAAGAGACTTCGTATGTAGAATGAGTTTACAGTTCTTAGTGTGTGTGTGTGTGTGTGTGTGTGTGTACACATACAAATAGACACATGCGAATTGTCTGAGGCACTCATGAGGGGGTTGGTGGACAACCACTAAGGGTGGGTTCTTACTGGGTGGCTGTGGTGGTGCACGCCTTTAATCCCAGCATTTAGGAGGCAGAGGCAGGCGGATCTCTGTGAGTTCAAGGCCAGCCTGGTCTACAGAGTGAGTGCCAGGATAGGTTCCAAAGCTACACAGAGAAACCCTGTCTCGGAAAAACAGAAAAACAAACAAACAAGCAAAACAGTCAGTTCTTTCCTTCTGCCACATCAGGTCTCACGCTTGGGAGCAAAGACCCATCTCATTAGCCCTTTTTTTTTTTGTTTTTTCAAGACAGGGTTTCTCTGTGTAGCCCTGGCTGGCCATGGAACAATTCAGAGATCCACCAAGGTATATCCTTTCAGTGAATGGAAAACTGAAAGTAGATAAAAACATTTATGAGAACCAACCCCCAAGGCCTCGGGGGTTAACACTCAGTTGTTAGAATTTGTCCACCATGCAAGAAGCTATAATTTTGGACCAGGCATTCTGGCACACACATGTAATCCCAGCACTTCAGAGAGATAGGAGGATCAGGAATTCAAAGCCAGCCTGAGCTATGTGAAACCCTATAACAAGAGGCCATGAGAGTCTGTTGAGGGGGGTCTCAAGAATTTATTTAGGAACAGGATAGGGACAAACACTCATTGATACAGAATCAATTAGACGCCTCCGCTGATTGGCTGCCTTTGTCCAGTCTTTCCACCATGGGTGAAGAACACCAACAGCAAGCCCCCTGTTCTGCTCCAACCTCCCAAACTCTCGAGATCAAAGGAGCAGTTACCCTATCCCTCAGCTTTTAAGTTGTCACATCAGCAGCCAAGAAGCCACGCCCTAAGGCTGGTACCCAAAGCTATTGGTAGAATGAGTTTCCACAACAAGACCCTGTCTCAAAAACACAGATTTTAGAGATGGCCATCTGCTCTTCCAGGGTGCCCAGGTCTGATTCTCAGCACCCACCACAGCTCATAAACCATCAGTAACTTCAGTCCCAGGAAACCCATCTCTCTGTCCTGGCCTCTATGAGTACTACACACACTTGGTACATAGATCTACAATAAGGCAAAACACCCATATACAGGGCTGGAGAGATGGCTCAGAGATTAAGAGCACTAACTGCTCTTCCAGAGGTCCTGAGTTCAATTCCCAGCAACCACATGGTGGCTCACAACCATCCGTTATGAGATCTGGTGCCCTCTTCTGGTGTGCAGATATACATGGAAGCAGAATGTTGTATACATAATAAATAAATAAAAATCTTTAAAAAAAAAACCCATATACATAAAAGTAAAATAGTTTCTTGACTGAAATAACCAGGAAGTACTCTTTCATGTCTTTGTTTATAAAGTTGTCCTATAGGTCTTGGGAACACATGCCTTTAGGTAGGTAAGTCTACATAGTGAGTTCAGGCCAGCCTGGGATACATAGAGAAACCCTGTCTTTAAAAACAAACAAAAAAGCTGGGCATTGGGATTAAAGGCATAAACACGCCTTTAATCCCAGCACTCGGGAGGCAGAGGCAGAGGATATCTGTGAGTTCGAGACCAGCCTGGTCTACAAGAGCTAGTTCCAGGACAGCTTCCAAAGCCACAGAGAATCCCTGTCTCAAAAAACCAAAACCAAACAAACAAACAAAAAAAACATGCCAGGTGGTGGTGGCACACCTTCAGTCCCAGCACTGTGAGGCAGAGGTAGGCCATATAATACTGTTTTACTTTTAACCTAACAGAAATAAAACAAACGTCAAGAAGTATGCTTTTAGAAATACAAACTGAGAAGAGCAAGCAGAAAAAGGATTTGGACAATATGGAAAATTCCGACGTGATAAAGACCATGCAAAAAAAACTACAGATGGAGATAAAGATTACTACAGTTATTCAGCATGTGTTCCAGGTAACATTTCTATAAATTAGGAACAGAGGTAGCTGAACATGATGGCACACACCTATAATCTGAACACTTGGGAGAGAAAGACAGAATGATCAGGAATTCAAGACCATGACTCAAAAAACCAAAAAAAAAAAAAAAAAAAGCCAGAAAAGGGCTGGAGAGTTAGTTCATTGATTAGGAGCACTGGCTACTCCTCCAGAGGACTCAGGTTCAATTCCTAGTACTTATATAGCACTCATTACTACTTATAACTCTAGCCTCTAGGGATCTTATCTTTTCTGGATCCATGGCAATAGCCCTGGTGAGCAGACAGGCATGTAGATAAAAACAAACAAACAAAAAACATACATATAAAAGTAACTACGAGGCCAGCCTGGTCTCCAGAGCGAGTGCCAGGATAGGCTCCAAAGCTACACAGAGAAAACCTGTCTTGAAAAACCAAAAAAATAAAAAATAATTTAAAAAATTAAAATTAAAAAAAATAAAAGTAACTAATTCAAAATGACAGAAAAAAAATGTTCCCTTTTTTTTTTGGGGGGGGGATGATTCAGACAGGGTTTCTCTGTGTAGCCTTCACTGTCCAAGTTGGCCTCAAACTCACAGAGATACACCTGTCTCTTCCACCCAAGTGCTAAGATTAAAGGCGTGTGTCACCACTGCTTGTCAAGAATGTCCCTTCTATAGGACAAAATTTTTAGTATTTTTGTACGTAGTGCCATAACACTTTCTAAAATTTGTCTAAATATCATGCAATAAATAATTTACTATCTTTGAGCCATCGTTTATCAAAAGGTAATGACCAGAATTCTCATTAATTAAGATCCTAATGATTTCTTCATTGTCTGCCACAAGTGTTTTTCACTGTTTTCAAAGGTTTAGAATGTTGATGAACTAAACTCTTTGTCCTCTTTTGAAAATAAAATGTATTAGTTATGGTTTCTGTTTCCCCAGAGAAGGATGAAACTGCACACTAGCAGTGCACAGTTAGCCTGACCCTGGCAACAGAACTTTGCCTGCAGTCTGAGGGACACTGCAGAAATTACTAATGACTAAAATCTATCCAGGGAACCCAGAAGTGAACACTGGAAATACTATCTAGTGTCATGTGAAGCGAGGCTGCCACTGTTAAAAGTGGAAAACTGAGGACGAAGTACTGTTTCCTCTTGGTCATACTAGTAGATGCTCAGTAATAATGGTATCAATGCAAGGATGCTGGGGATATCGCTCAATTGATAGAGTGTTTACCTGGCAGCCACAAAGACCTGGGTTTGGTCCCCCGCCCAAGTGACCTGGGCATATTGGTAGATGTTACAATAAATCTTTCCACCAAAAGCCGTTGAGCCCCACTGCCACGTGTGCGCTTTATGCCAGCTGCCGGCCCAAGTTAGGGCCCAAATTAATACACAGAAACTTGTATTGGGTACAAATGCTGCTTGGCCAATGACTAGGATTCTCATCTGTTAGCTCAGTCTTAATTATCATAAATCTGTATATTTTATAAGACTTATCGGACGCCTTCCATTGGCGCCCTCCCATGCCAGTGGATCACATGGCACTGCTGGAGGGGGGGGACACTTCCTGTTTCTCCTTGCTTAAATATGAGTCACCTTGCTATGTTACTTCCTGCCTGGATCACTACTTCTCTAATACATTTCCTAGAATCCTCTTTGACTCCTAGTCCCGTCTAACTTGCTGCCTCATTGGCCAAACAGTACTTTATTCAACAATCAATAAGATAAACATACACAGAAGTACATTTCCTATCATCTCCTCTTTTCTGTCTAAATAAAAAGAATAACTTATCTTTTATAATAACTGAAGAAAACTATAACCATAACTATCTGTCTTTAACTCTATCAAAGACCACAGAAGGATAATATATAAACTCTAGAATTGACAGGACATCTCGCTACCTGGACCGTCACCCAAAGTTCCTCTGTAACATTGGAGCATCCATCTTCAGCCCATACGCCCATGGGCTGGCATGTGCCCATAAGTGTGTGTGGCAGACTTCTTCAGGTAGATACTTGTAATCCCAGCACTGAGTAAGTGGAGGCAGGAAAATCAGAAGTTCAATGTCATCTTCAGCTGCCCAGTTGATGCATAGCAAGTTCAGTGCCAACCTGGGCTACGTGGAACCTGTCCAGGAAAAAAATCAGGAAAGGATTTGTTAAAATCTTGTTACTTTAAGCACTTAGAATTTTTCTTTTTAATTGCAGGGCCTTATTTTGGGAAGTAAAACCAACTGGGCAGAGGATTCTGCCCTCAAGGAAATTGTGCTACAGCTGGAGAAGGATCTCAACACAATCTAATAAGAATCCTGCTCTGGCATTGGAACGAGTTTGTGCCCACTCTGCCATTTAAATAGCAGAGTTTGTGGGAACCATTCTGATGCTTCAGTTCTAGGGCTTGGGTTGATGATATGACATGAAATCTCCTGTTTGAAATACAATCACTAAAGTGACTGGCATACTCTGCAGGAGTCTAAACACTGTAGCGTTGGAAAGAAGGCATCTGGTCCAGCTGCCATTGAATGTGGACATCTTCACAACCATTTCCCTTTCGGCCTGCTTTTACGCATTGGTTTGTCAACCAGCACATTGGAAAAACATCCAAAGTGTAAAGGGTTGTGATTGTTTAAGTATGGTTGTAGGTTGTAACTTTTTCTTTTTTTCCCCCTTCTCTGTTTAGCATGTATTTTACTTTTATAAGTTTATGAATAAAAAGGATAAATGTTACCATCTTACTAATTAAAAAAGAAAATTTATAGTGGTTAAGAACACTGGCTGTTCTTGTTACAGAGGACCCAGGTTTAGTTCTCTGTACCCACATGGCTGCTCACAGCCATCTGCAACTCCAGTTCCAGGGGATCTGACATCATCTTCTGGCCTCAGCCAGGTAGCAGGCATGCATGTGGAGCATATATGTACATGCAGGCAAACACACATACACATAAAAAACCAAATCTTTAAAAAAATTAAAAATTGCCATTTTATAGACTCTGTGTTCTATTTTTGGATATCCTGAGTATTTGGAGGTTGTAATGGTTCGTGTTAAATATCTGCCTGACAAAAGCTATAGTCATCTGGGAGAAGAGTCTGTGGCATGCCTGTTGGGGATTATCTTTTTTTTTTTAAGATTTGTATTTATTTATTATGAAAGCTTGGCCCTAGCTTAGACTTGTTCCCAACTAGCTCTTAAAACTTAAATTAGCCCATTTACATTAATTTAACTTGTGCCACATGGCTCATTACCTCTCCTCAGAACCATACTTCTACTTCCTCTGGGTCTGGCAGGTGAATCTCCTGTGCCCAGAGTTCCTGTCTCTCACCAGAAGCCCTTCCTATCCTCTCTCCTGTGTAGCTATTGGCCATTCAGCTCTTTATTAAACCAATCAGAAGGTGCCTTAAGCAGGTGAAGAAAGACAGAGACACTTTGTAACTATAAGTCTTTCTGCCAAGCTGCCCCAAGCCCTGCTTCCATGTGGGCGCTTTCTGTCAGGCCACCCAAGTTCTGCCCGCTGCCACGTTAAGGTCCCAAGTAACACAGAGAGACTTTTATTAGGTACAAATGCTGCTTGGCCAATGACTAGGATTTCTCATCTGCTAGCTCAGTCTTAAGTATCATCCATAATCATAAGACTTATCTTATGGAGGACACCTTCCAATGGCGTCCTCTTCCCGGGTCACATCATAACTGCAGAGCAGAGAGCAGGAGGAAGAGAGAAAAGGAGCGACTTCCTTCTTGTCCTTGCTTATATGTGAGTCTGTCTGCTGTCACTTCCTATTTGGATCACAAGACTTCTTTTTACAACATTTCCCAGAATCCTTCTCGACTCCTAGTCCCGCCTAACTTGCTGCCTCATTGGCCAAATAGTGCTTTATTCAACAATAAGATAAACATACATAGAAGTACATTCCCCATCACTTTTTCACACAGTGTACAAAAAGATTATCCCAGCAAGCTGGAATGATGGCTCAGTAATTAAGATCACTAGCTGCCCTTCCAGAGGACCCAGGTTCAATTCCCAGTGCCTTGTGGTGGCTCACAACTGTAACTCCATTTCCAAGGGATTCAATGCCTTCTAGCTCCCATGGGTACCAGGCATACATCTACCATGAACATAGACAAAATATCTGTAGCGCCTGCACTACAACACTTCCACAGTATAGGGTGAGGGGCTTTATTCCAACAAGAGTGGGGGCTTATATACCAGTCAGCAGGAATGGTGAAAAACTACCCAGATAACAAGTTCAGGTTCCCAGGCCCATCAGGCAATCCTGAATGGGTGAACAACAGGATAACAGGAACTTGCACTCAGGCCTTCAAGGAAGGAAGAAAACAGGATGTACCTGCTAGGAAAACTCCTAGTCACAAGCTGGTCAGCAGACCCCTATGGGGGAAGGGCCCAACAAGTCCCCCTGTTATATATACATATAAAATGAACGTCTGTCTTAGGTTGCCCAGGACATCAACATCTGCTTTACCCATCATTGAAAAGCCTGCCCAGGCCCCGCAGACCCTCTGGCTTAGGTTAGCAGACATCCCCTAAGTCTTACCCGTCATTGACTGCTCACTTGTCCTGCAGGCCCAGCCAGACCTGCGCTGAGGGGTTATCTGCTGCCAAGGAAAGCATGATTTGCTTGGTTTAAAAATGGCGCTGGGTTTGCCACCATCCTATGTGGCAAAGGCAGACTAGGGCTAAATTGGCACTGCCCAGGGCTATAATTCTGGGGGCCATCAGCCTACTCCATTCCTTTGTTAACTGGCCTGTTAGCTGCAGTCCCCTTAAGAGGGAGTCCCTAGAAAGGGGAGGCACCCTGGTCTTAATAATTAGAGTAGCCAATTGAGTTGTGTGAAGATTTAAAGTGCCCATGGACAAATTGTAATTTACCAAAAGATGGCACATGCGTTACATCCATCTGCCACATGTGATTGGGCAAAAGGCCTCGAGGATTAACTCCCAAGTTAGGCACAGGAAGAAATTCTACACAAAGAAGGCAATCCTTAACTATTTGAACAGCTTGTTCCTTAGTTATCCCAGTATGAAAGCTTAAGGACCCTGCGCTGAGATGAAAACGCTTATGTAAGGATTGTGCTCTAGTGAGCTCTTGTGAAACTGCAATGATTTGAGTATACCTGTCAGCCATGCAATTTCCTTCGATGAGGGGTCCTGGCAAAGGGGTATGGGCCCTAAGATGTCCCACAAATACAAGTTCACTCCATTGCCATAGCAGACCCTGATTCTGCAACAAACTCTCTTGTACTCTGGAGATGGGGGTAATAAAGGCAGCCGTCTCCAGAGGTTGGACAATATGAGCAACGTATTGACTATCGGTATAGATGTTTAGCCCCCGTGGGGAAGAGCTGTAGAGCCATGGCCAAGGCTAAGAGTTCGGCCATTTGGACAGAAGCTGCAGTGATTCTGGCTGTCTTAATGGGAAAAGATACTGTTAGACCCCCGAAAACTCAAGTATCCGGGGTCCCAGGCCACGTTCGCGGTCACCCCAATCACCAGGCGGATTCGAGAGCTTGTTGCAAACTGCACGAGGCTTTATTGTAATTTAACGAGCTAACCCCATGTTAGCTCGGGTCTTTCACCCACCCTCCATGGCAGACAGCTAGAAAAGACGGTTTGAAGCTGCTGCACATAGATCTTTATAGGGCAGCGTAAGGGGAGTGTCTAGGGGTACGCACAGGCTCACGATTGGTGTGCCTCCAGG